AAAAAAGGTTTGCCTAGGAATATCTAGACGGGTAACGCGTTGAAACGTGTTTTTGGTGAAAATGAACGCGGTTTTACGCGTTGTACTATAAACTCTTCGAAGCGCTTTCTGACGCGCTGGACGCAGCAGATAATAACGCATAAAAATGCGTAAGACTACCAAATAATGGTCCTGCTAAAGATATTGGTAATTAACGCAGCTTAAATTCAGAAAAGTTACAACCAGTATATTTGAAAAAATAGGGCCTGGTTCAAAGGAAATGAAAAGAATACTTTACTCCTTTAACCTTACAACTAAATATCTATTATTAAAGTACTTTCGTATCATGCGATTGCTTTACGGCCACTTACAATGTCACTGCCGATCGTTTACAACCACCGTAAACCACAATGGGCACTCTAGAAGGAAACCACCACTGGAAATCACCCTGCGATAGTAGAAAACGAGCATTCGATCCAACGAATGTAACTTACTGTCAATCGCTGTTTGCAGTCGTTTATGGTCGCATGTAAATGATCTGGGTTACTGAAAATACTCTTTGGATTTCGTTTAATCATCATGATCAAAGAAAAAATCAGAGATAAACGTGAACAAATAATTTTGACCACATCTCTAATTTTGTAGATCAAACACCTATTTACTTATCGTATATTTCACTACTATACGGAAAATGGTGAAACGCAAATTACATAGATGTCTTGTGTCGGTGACTGTGGAGAAACTTTGAAATTTTGTTGAAGTAATGGTAGATGTCAGACTGTGTGATATTGTAGCCTAACGTTTTCTCTTCAAAATAAAACTATCCCGAATTTTGTATCATCTATGCAAGATGAGCAGTCTGTTAAGCTCTTATAGCTACAAAGACAAAATTCAGTTTTACAAAAAAGTCGTACCAGTATACAAGAACGTTTCTGAAACTTTCAGAAACCCTTATAACTCTCGATCGGCATATCATCAAGATGTGTTCGACATCTCGCTTTAACCAGAAAAGTCTGCTCTATCAATCAGCATCATTGATGACATTTCATTCGCGATTCCTGAAAACCTACTTGTTTAAGGTTGATAGAAAACTTTTTCAAAAACCTTCATAAATCTATGATATAGTAAAACGCAGTATAGAGCCTGATCCTAAGTATGCTGATCTTGACCTTTTTGTAAAAGAAATTTGTTTTTATGATACGAGAGTCCTCTAATGTGATTTTTCTTTCTTTTAGAATGATGCTTATGTCTACAACACATGATGAATGTGATAATATATTGCAAGATCGTAAACATACACGATGTAAACCACCAATTATCTCCCAGATAGATACACTACAGTCTTTACCTCTAATGAATAAAATAACGCAGTTTTCTAATGATCACAAACCAAATGTATGTTATTGTTTCCTACTCTCCTTTAATTCCAATGCATCTGTTGTTGTTCTTTTTAGCCAAATGATCGTATTATATATACATGTGGCGCATACGATTTATTTCATACTGGGCACGTTAGTTTTCTTGAAAAAGCAAAGACATTTGGAGATTATTTAATTGTCGGATTATATACAGACAGTGTTAGTATCCCTTTTCAAAGTTTTATGCATGAAAATTGATTTCATGCGTTATCTATACTTCTGGTTTTATTAGGATATTAATCGTTATAAAGGCAATGATCGTCCAGTTATGAATATTCATGAACGTGTCCTCAGTGTTTTGGCGTATCGAGTAAGAAAATTTCTTTGTTTACTTTGTTTACTGGATTAGTATTGTCGATTTGTTGATTCTATGTCTTAGTTTGTTGATGAAGTTATTATTGGTGCTCCATATTCTATCACATTAGATCTGATGAATCATTTCAAAGTAAGCAATTTTTCTTGTCTGTAAATGGTGAAAAATGCGTTCTATTTTTTCACTTGATCAATAGGTCGATATAGTGGTTCATGGTCGAACTGAATGTCCAGCAGATGAAGACGGTCGAGATCCATATGAGGTATATAGCTGACAGAACATTTCTTAGAGAGACCTGTTTACCGACCCCAATGCTCACCAGCGTCATCATTCACCCGACGGTCAGATCGGGCTTGAAGATGACAGATGTGAGTCGGGAGCGATGCTAAAGCTTGTGGGTGCGAGTCTAGCATGGATCTACTTTTTATCATTTCTGAATTTTCAAACTTTGTCCAGTTATTATGAATAGATATGAATAAATAGTAATATACCATTAAAATAGAGGCTTTTTTGTACTGTTTGCGTGTACTAATTCACGGTCCTCTTCGACGTTAATACAAAGTTTGATTCGTTAAAGAAGTGTTTATTACAGTGCTGAACCTTCTATTTGTTTGTCTGTATAGAATTTCTTTTATTGAATACAACTTATTCAGTTTGGTCAGGGTGAATTTGATTGATAAAAAACAGTCAATAGTTATTCTTGATCTAACGGCCAAGAGAGGTCGTTGCTACGGATTCCGTCGATTTAGGCGTTTTTGATACTAGCGTCAAGTTGTAACTGAACAGGGCTTAGTTAAGAAAGTGAAGGCCAAAATAAAACAAAATTCATAAAAGTGCGCATGTTCTTGACTTATACAATTTTATTTGGATATTTCGGATCGCTGCAGTCTACGCTGATAAATAAAGCAATGAGTCATCACTTTTACTCCATCGACTGTAAGTGAACTGTCCGTTAACAATCGTAAACGTCTGGTTAATGAGCCGTTTTTACGCAGTGAAACCTGAGCGGTTTACGGACCGTTTTTTGGCCGTTTTACGATCAAAAAACGGTCTGTTTACGGCTTTTTTTATCGTTAATCGAACGTTTTATGAATTTTTCATTAAAAAGTTTTATTTTTGATTTGTGCTACCAATCCTAGGATCACAGTTCTATTTTCAGTACTAAGCCCAAAACTAACGGGTGCTTCCTCTAATCAAGTTTCTGACTTGTATATATGATGAAACGGAAAGTTCTACGTTATTCGAAGAGTGTCAGCGTTGCATATATATTAGTAATGATGGCAAATAAAACAGGTGAATGTCTTGTCGACGAAATGGTGACTCTGAACGGGTCGTTTTTCCACCGACAGAAAACAATCTAAAAACGGGTCATTCATTAGTGTGACTGGGCATAGTCTATGTTGTATACACTACATAGACTGTTTTTAGATCGTTATTTGACGTTCTCAAAACGGCCGGTTTACAGCGACGTTAATGGACCGTCTCGGTTGAGCTTTCACCACATTGAAGTAATTTTTTCTTCAAACTCGAGGATCTATTTTAAATGAAAGCTCGGTCGATTCTGGTCACAAATACTACCTTAGAAGAGTTTAGAATAGTTATCTTAAGGGGGGCCCTCCCCTTACAAATAAACTTTTTTATTTTTCATCCAATTTGAATCAAAATTCCAGAGAATGTTAGTCTTGGCTAGGATTATGGTTAAAATATCTCCCCAAATCTTCACGATACACACGAGTTATAGCCAATTCATTGGTCAAAAGTGCCCTTTACGCGGGCAAGGTTTTCAAAATGAGGATACGAGCTAACATGTCGGGGTGGCTTTTAATTGTAGAGTACCCTTAGGACTCATCACAGAGTATACAGGCTTTGATCACTGATCAAGGATATAAGCTGTATGGATTGAGCAATGGGGGGTAGAACACATTATAGCAGCACACAGGAAGGGGATCAGAACATCGGAGAGTTACTCTTGGATAATTTAGTCCAAAAGTAAATTCTTTGCATTTGAATTCGAAGTTCAAGTGTTCGATTGCATCAACTGTGTAGTGTTCTTTTATGATTTGCTTCTTTCTGTTCTATCCTTATCTCTCTCAATCAACCAAATTATTAACCGTTTAACGAACAATAACGTTGGTGAGGAGAGCGAGGGGAACATTTAGGTATGTACAAACCACTTGTTCGAGGGATACTTCGAGTACTCGAAAATACGCTTCCGATGGGCTCTCACCGAGGGCTCGACTCCTCGAAAAATGAGACTTCAGACCCTCGATATAAGCGTTCGACGGATTATCGATCTCAAGCCCTCAGGTTTCAGATGGATAGCGAGCCATCGAGCAGAATATTCGGGACCCAAGCAAACGAGAAGACTTCCGAGCCCTCGTCGTTCGAGGATGCGATGAGGGCTCGGAAGTCCCGAGCATCTCTGTTCGAATCGAAATTTTTATCGAGGGTTCGAAACCGGTAACCCCTCGAACGTTTATATCGAGGGTGCGAAGTCTTATTCTCGAGGAGTCGAGCCCTCGACGAGGGCGCATTTTTGAGTACTCACCGCACCCTCGAACGGCTTTTCTCATCTACATGGGATATTTTTGTAGTGCTACTTATCTAGTGACTCTTTTTCTTTTCAGGTGCCAAAAAGTCTTAATAAATTTAAAGAAATAGATAGCGGCAATGCATTAACAACAACTGATGTGATAACTCGTGTTACAGAAAATCGGTACGTGATGTTCTTTTTTTGTAAAGCTTCTTAAAAAATCCACTAGAGTAAGATTTTAATTGCTAAAGCAACAAGAGTTCTTCCGACAGAAATCAGCTAAAGTGCTTGAAAGTAGAGTGTGACGTTTCTCTACTCTTCATCTTCTCTCTTCGTTGTCAGACTGACTGCCCTCCTTTTGATAACTCTGATGCTTTTGACGTCTTTCTACAACTCTAGTTCATAATCTTTCTGCTTTTATCTCCATAGCTATTAGTCCATTGTTTTCTTCGTAAACAATGAATCCTTCGCTCAAGTAGTATGGCATCTATTTTTATTATAATTTTACGTCTGAGTCGATGTTGATAAGGTACCAGAATTCGATTCCTCCTCACTTGGAAAGTTGTAAACATGAACACCGAGAGCTGATACAGTTTAACAGGTTTTCAACCTTGTATAATATAATTCCAATCTTTCATCTCTTGATATCATAGATGCTGTCTGTGTAAAAACAAAATATCAACGGACAGAGAGTAGAGGATGTAACCTACAATTATGTGCTTCCCATTCAATAAATCTACTAATGTTACATTTCTTAAGAGTCAGCAGATATAAAGTTCAGACGAGTGGCAAAGAGTAAGATACACGATCAACCCAAATGCAAGGGGATAAAAGCACCACGTCATTTCACTTCACTTCACCTAGGTAAAACGCTGCTGAAACGGTTGAAACAATAAAAAATCACTTCAAGTTAAGCGGAAGCGGTGAAGTGGTGCTTTCCCCCCTTGCTTCCTTCCCCCAACAGGGGCGCTGTTTCAATAGTGAACTGAAATGAAGTGGTGCTTCTATCCCCTTGCTCAAATGTCATCATTTTTGGTCATCGATATAGAGCAAACAAAATCTGATAGTTTGGAATCTGTAACTTTTCAACCTTTCCTTGTGGAGCTATGGCATCTTTATGAAAAGCCCTAGTTTTGAATTTTTAATGTTCCGTTTCGAAACTAACTTTTCACAAATAGTGAGTATTAGGGATGCAACGGTAACGGTAACCGCACCTTACCGATTACCGTTACCGGTCCAACCGCATCTTACCTGTTACCGTTACCGGTCCAACCGGTTCTTACCGGTTACCGTTACCGGTCCAACCGGTTCTTACCGGTAGCAATAAACTTGAAAAAACAAATGGAATATTTGCTACATAATTCAAAACACAAAATAAATGTTTCTTTAATCACAGTTCTCTGTTAATCAATATAACGTTGA